ATATATATATATATATATATATATATATATATATATATATTATTCATTGGCTATAAGGCACTCTTTAGATGAACCAAACAGATCTAGATGCTTTTCTTTTTAAAGCTTACATTCAAGTGGAGGGAATAAAGACAAGAGCTGTAAAAAACAACTAACTCATATATTCTTTTATAATTACAGGGGATAAAAAAGTAAAAGGCAGAGCAGATAAAATGGATGAGCTGTCCTTGGAATAGGGTTAGGGTACATTGTAGTATTTAAGGGGATCTACACATAAGGCCTCATTGAGAAAACAAAGCCTATGTATATCCTAAAGGAATCAATAGACATGAAGACCCCATAGGAGATGGTGAGATTGGCCTAGAAGAAGTGAAAAAGGAAGTCTAATAAGTCAGAATAACCACAGAGAGGAAGGACAGTTATGCAAATTATTTTAAAGAATGTATCCTTGATTCTGAAAGAAATATGGACTTTATAAGGGTTTGAATAGACAAACAACCTGACCTCGTGTCTTAACATGAGCAACCTGTCATTCATTTTGAGACTAACTCTTGTAGACCTGACAGAACCAAGTCCTACTGAAATCTAAGTGGGATGTGATGGTGGTTGCAGCCATGGTGCTGAGTGTGAAAGTGACAGGAAGAGTCATATGCTGTGTAACTTGTGTAATTACCTCAAAAATCAAAAATATAAGGACCATGAGAGGAGTTTGTGAATAACACAAAGGAAGAAGAATCATTAGGTCCCATTCCATTCTCAGATTTGATACGGTGTGGCTGAGAGGGAATTCAGAATTCCTATGAACACACACATATACACATGCAACAGAATAATTAAAGTGGATTCCCAAATTTTAAAAATGTTCCACAACTTATGTGCTGTTTACTAAGGCTGAGTCCACTGGTACCGCCATGACAATGTTCATTAAGGACAAAGCCAGGGTACATCATGTACACATAACTAAAGAAATACTGACATTGAAATGGACAAAATGTGTTCTGTAGATGCAGTTACTTGAATAAATCTAAAATTAAAAAACAAAAAAGGAAAAGAAAAAGAAATTCATCCACTTTGTGTTTGAAGCAATGTATGCCCAGTTATAAATGATACAATACTGAGAAGAACAAATGTCCTTATGATAGTCATAGTTTCCCCTTTAAAATACCACTGCATAGGTTAGTAGATTAGAGTACTTTTATGGGACCTTCTTTAGTCTTTAAGAAGATTAAGAAAGAGGAGCCATTAAATCAAGAATGAGAATGTTTTGCTATGAAGACTGAGGGAAGAAAGCAGAACAGGTTTTTCAGTGGTAAAGTCATTGTTCTTTTGTAAACGCCTCTTCCAGGGATCCAGGAAGCACTCTTAAATTGTAGGCTGTTTGTCAATATCATTAATATTGTGTTAAACAATAAAGTCAGAATCTCAGAGGACAAGGAACAGAGTAAGGAGTCTGACATGGGCTCTCTTCCTGCTGGGCCCCAAGGTCCCAGGATGTTACCATGGGCCCCAGCTTCACTCTACAGTGAACATCTGTCAGTCAGGTAAGTCCACATGCATGCCCCAAAGTGGAAGGAGAAAAAAGTGCTGCAGGAGGCAGGCAGGGCCCTAGAGACAGTGGGAAGCTTCCCCAGGAGAACAGGTCATTTCCTAAACAAGGAAACAGATCGACAAAGCTCTGAGATCTGAGGCCATGTCAGACATTCTCCAGCAGCCTCAAGTAGACTGTTTAACTGGTGAAGGTGAAGAACTTCAGTTTTGCATGATATCCACACTGGGACAGGTACAGCTGGTATTGGCTCTGCATCCTCCTCTGCAGGATGGGTAAAATAAGGCCCCTAAGGAATTGAGATTTGGATAATGCATCGAAGAATCCAGCCAGAGCACACATGTGTGTACATTCATGCTTGCGCACTCGAGCACACACACACACACACACACACACACACACACACACACACACACACACGGTACTCTCCATCCAGTTCTGCTAATTTATTACCTGTGGTTTATTTATTACAGTGTAAACAGCCTCTTCATTTATTATTATTTAATCCATTAACTCTGACTTGGTCCCAAGGGGCAACTTTTCAAGAAGAACATGTGACTCCCTAATACAAAGGCTAAGTATGAACACTGGAGTGTTTTCCAGAAGCATCCTTTTCAGAATCAGTTTGTCCCTCAGGAAATACTTTCTTCTTTCCACTCCCTCTGCTTGCTCTTGGGCATTCATCTACCCCAACTACCACCACCAATTTAGAAAATCAGGTTTTAAGTTTTAAATATACTTCATATACTAGAGTGATTTTAGATGTCCAAAATTGATTATAGGGCTGAAGGTGTCTGTCAGTATTAGAGCACTGGCCCGGAAAGGGCAACGTACTGGATTTCATATTTAGTACCAGACCATTGTTATTGATATTTCATTAATTTGTATATAATGTCATTTGGTTATGATGATGGCTAATCTTCATGGTCAGTTTGATTGAATTTGTAATCAAGTAGAAGACAAACATTGGGATGTGTTTGTCAAGATATATCAGCAAGTCATAGACTAAATTGACATGATATTAAACCATCTCCTAATGACTTATCATTATTATACCCATATATCAGTACATCTCTCAGTTCTCATCAGAGAAGCTTCTGTTTGTGGTAGAAGGTGATTAATGGAGATCCACAGTTGGTCAAGTTGCAGAGAATGAGAGACTAGAATTCTCAACCCTAAATGAGGCATCTGTATTATACCCCTCCTTCTAAGGCTCTGAGATCATTTCAGAAGGAGTGGGAAGATTGCAAAAGCCAAAGACAATGGATGACTAAAACAGAACAGTGTTCTCCAAACATAGTAATGCAGCTATGCATATGAATTCAAAACAGTGGTGTTGGCAGGCACATGACCTGTGCAAGCTTAAGCCAGACAATGTAACAGCATAGAAAGGGGAGGTAAACAAGAAGGTCCACCTTTAGCTGAGAAGCTATTGATACATGATTGCTGGTGGAAGAGGGGGAGTTCTTTTATTTTTTAAGGGTGTGGCCCTGGCAGGTCAGTGGCAAGGGCAGGAAAAGGGAATTAGGTATAGGAAAAATTAGAAGAAGGGTGAATATTATCAAAATATTTTACACAAAATTCTTAAAGCAATTAAAAACTGTTTTCTTTAAAAAAAATGCCAAGGCTATGACTGTTAGTTGCCCCAAACACACAGGAGTAAAGCACTTACCTCAAATAAACGCAAGACCTTGGCTAGGGCACCAACTTCTTCTTTGAGTGAGAATAGCAGTGACACAGCCCCATTTTGGTTGGAGTTGTCTTCAATATAACTTGTTTCCTACAGAATTAGATCACCCGGTTAAAAGGTTTGGCATAGCTTATTGACATATATTCCCTTGAATTATTCCCTTGAAACCTCTGAAGAAGTAGCAAGCATAAACATTTTCTTCTCCTTAAGCTTTGGAACACAATGAACTCCATGTATTCTACACAAAAGGCAGTGTAGTCAGAAATAAATAAGTTGAGGATAATAAAATAACAAATGTCACTCCTGGGTTGGCTCTCAATTTTTATAAGCTCAAATTACTCATTGATATCACTGGCAAAACCCAGTAGCTTTTGATGAGCACCCACTTAGTACCAGGTCCTATCCCACATCTTCAAGAGATAGAAATCTGAATTAAGGTAAATGTACCCATCCTTTCAATGTCAAACTTCTGACTAGCAGACACAAGGAAGGCCAAGTGGTGCAAAAAACAAATGAACAACAACAACAACAACAAACACTGGGAAATGCAATGTGAAAAACATTAAAAATGGACATTCAGAGGCTGTGGGTCCAAAGGCCTGTGTGTTATCCTCTCTTGTCCATTTAAAAATGGACATTCAGGTCTCTGCCAGCCTGACCCCTACCAAGGTGAGTGTACCCCCTGCTCCTGTCCTATTCCTACCCAACTTTCCATTCACCCCAGATCTTTCTGGGCTTGCGACTGCTTAGAATGGACCTGCCTGGGCAGGGAGGAGCTCCCGGAGTATGGAAACACCTCACTCTTCCTTCCCAGGCCTGACCCTTACCGAGTGAGGAGACTACCAGGAGAGGCATGGCTATCCAGAGCTGCAGACATTGAAGTCTGGGCCCACACACACCACCATGTGACAAGAGGAGATAAAAAGACCCCACCTGCACCCACTGGAAGAAGACATGGGAAGAAGACTGAATAAGAACACACTCAACATCAGAAAGACCAATTTGACAACATCAGAATCTAGGGACTTTATACCAGCAAGATCTGAAAAGCCCAGAACAGAGGATGAAGAAGAGATGGACCTCAAAAATTATCTTAGGAAGATGATAGAGACCTTCAAAGAGAAAACAAGAAAGTCCCTTAAAGAAATAGAAGAAAAAAACAAGCAAAAATTACATGAAGTGGAGGAAAAGACAACCAAAAATTTCAAGAAATAAACAAATCTCTTAAAGAATCTAAAGAAAGCCAAGAAAAAACAACCAAACAAGTGAAGGAAGCACTCAAAACAGTTCAAGGCATGAAAGCTGAAATGGAATAGATGAAGAAAACACAGAATGAGGTGATGCTGGAAATAGAAAGGCTGGATAAATGATCAGGAACTAAAGATTTGAGTATAACCAATAGAATTCAAGAGATGGAAGAGAGAAGCTCAGTTGTTGAAGATTCTCTAGAGGATATACAGTCATCTACCAAAGAAAATCTCAAGTCCGATAAATCCCTAACACAAAATATCCAGGAAATATAGTATTCCATGAAAAGGCCAAACCTAAGAATAATAGGTATAGCAGAAGGTGAAGAAATACAGTTCAAAGGTACAGAAAACATATAGGTGTAGAAGAAGGTGAAGAAATACTGCTCAAAGGTACAGAAAACATATTCAACAAAATCATAGAAGAAAACTTCCCCAACCTACAGAAGGATATGCCTATGAAAGTACAAGAAGCTTACTGAATACCAAACAGACTGTTCCCACAAAAAAGAAGTCCCCTCGACACATAATAATCAAAACACCAAGCCTACAGAATAAAGAGAAAATATTAGGAGCAGCAAAGGAAAAAGAGCAAGTAACATATAAAGACAGACCTATCAGAATTACTCCTGACTTCTCAATGGACAATCAGAATCACACCCGACTTCTCAATGGAAACTCTGAAAGCCAGAAGGTCTTGGATAGATACCCTACAAGCACTCAGGGAGCATGGATGTCAACCCAGACTACTGTACCTAGCAAAACTTTCAATCACTATAGATGGAGAAAACAAGATATTCCCGGACAAAACCAGACTTAAACAATACATATCCACAAATCCAGCACTACAGAAAGTTCTGGAAGGAAAACTCCAACCCAATGAAGATAACTACACTCACAAAAACACAGGCAATAGATAATCCAATTTTACCAAACATGAAAAGAAACAGGAGGGCGAAATACACACAAAATGACACCACCAACAATAAATCCAAAAAAAAAAAAAAACAAGAACCAACAATCAATGGACATTGGTCTTAACCTTCCTATAAAAAGATACAGGCTAACAGAACAGAATCCATCCTTCTGCTGTTTACAAGAAACACACCTCAAATTCAAAGACAGGCGATACCTCAGAGTAAAAGGATGGGAAAAGATTTTCCAATCAAATGGGCCCAAGAAACAAGCTGGTGTAGCAATCCTAATATCTAACAAATTAGACTTCAAACTAAAATCAATCAAAAGAGATGAAAAATGGCATTCCATACTCATCACGGGAAAGTCTATCAAGATGAAGTCTCAATCCTAAACATCTATGCCCCAAATAAAAAGACACCCACATTTGTAAAAGTAACATTACTAAAGCTCAAACCACACATAAAACCACACACCCCACTTGCACCAGACAGGACAACCAGACAGAAACCTAACAAAGAAACAAAGAATCTAACAGAAGTTATGACCCAACTGGGTTTAACAGATATCTATAGAACATTCCATCCAAACACAAAAGAATATACCTTCTTCTCAGCGCCAAATGGAAACTTCTCTAAAATTGACCACATAGTTGGCAACAAAGCAAACCTCCACAGATACAAGAGATAGTCCCCTGTATCTTATAAGATCACCATGCTTTAAAGTTAGAATTCAACAGCAATACAAATTGCAGAAAACCTACAAACTCATGGAAATTGAATAACACCGAATTGCACCATTCCTGGGTTGAAGAAGAAATAAAAAAAAGATATTAAAGACTTCCTAGAATTTAATGAAAATGTAGACAAAACATTCCCAAACTTATGGAACACTCTGAAAGCAATCCTAAGAGTAAAGTTCATAGATTAAGTGCCCACATGAAGAAACTGGAGAACAGTCACACTAGAAAATTGACGGAACAACTGACAGCTTTAGAGCAAAAAGAAGCAAACTCACCATGGAGGGGTAGATGCTAAAAATAATCAAACTGAGGGCTGAAATCAATAAAATAGAAACTAGGAAAACATTACAAAGAATCAATGAAACAAAGAATTGGTTCTTTGAGAAGATCAATAAGATAGACAAACCTCTATCCCAACTAACCAAAAGGCAGAGAGAGTGCACACTAATTAACGAAGTCAGAAACAAAAAGGGGGATATAACAACAGACACCGAAGAAATCCAGAGAATCATCAGGTCATACTTTGAAAACCTGTACTCCACAAAATTTGAAAATCTAAAGGAAATGAACAATTTTCTGGGTAGATATCACTTACCAAAATTAAGCCAAGAACAGATAAGTAGTTTAAATCGACCTATGCCCCCTAATGAAATAGAAACAGTCATCAAAAGCCTCTCAACCAAAAAAAGCCCAGGGCCAGATGGCTTCACTGCAGAATTCTACCAGAAATTCAAACAAGAGCTAATACCAGTACTCCTCAAATTGTTCCACACAATAGAAGCAGAAGGGACATTGCCAAAATCTTTTTTATGAGGCTACAATCACTTTGACACCCAAGACACACAAAGATACAACTAAAAAAGAGAACTACAGACCAATATCCCTCATGAATATGGATGCAAATATACTCAACAAAATATTGGGGAATCAAATCCAAGAACCCATCAGAAAAATCATCCACTATGGTCAAGTAGGCTTCATCCCAGGGATGCAAGAATGGTTCAACATATGAAAATCCATCAATGTAAACCACCATAGAAACAAACTGAAAAAGAAAAACCACATGATCATCTCATGGACGCTGAAAAAGCCTTTGACAAAATCCAACATCCCTTCATGATAAAGATCTTGGAGAAAACAGGAATAGCAGGAACATATCTAAACATGACAAAATCAATATACACCAAACCAACAGCCAACATCAAACTAAATGGAGAGAAACTCAAAGTGATTCCTCTAAAAATCAGGAACAAGATAAGGCTGTTCACTCTTGCCATATCTCTTCAATATTATACTTGAAGTTCTAGCTAGAGCAATAAGACAAGAAAAGGAGATCAAAGAAATACAAATTGGAAAGGAAGAAGTCGAACTTTCACTACTTGCAGATGATATGATAGTCTACATACGTGACCTGAAAACCTCTACCAGGGAACTCCTGCAGCTGATAAAACCTTGAGCAAAGTAGCAAGATACAAAATTAACTAAAAAATCAGTAGCCCTACTATATACAGATGATAATTGCAATGAGAAAGAAATCAGAGAAACATCATCCTTCATAATATCCAAAAGCAGCATAAAATATCTTAGGGTAACTCTAACCTAAAAAGTGAAAGATCTGTACAATAAGAACTTTGAGTCTTTAAAGAAGAAGTTAAAGAAGATACCAGAAAATGGAAAGATCTCCCATGCTCTTGGATAGGTAGAATCAAATTGTAAAAATGACATTCTTGCCAAAAGCAATCTACAGATTCAACGCAATCCCCATCAAAATCCCAACACAGTTCTTCACAGACCTTGAAAGAACAATACTCAACTTTATATGGAAAAACAAAAAACCCAGGATAGCCAAAACAATTCTGTACAATAAAGGGTCTCTTGGAGGCATCAACATCCCTGACTTCAAGCTCTATTATAGATTCATAGTTCTATAAACTGGTTGGTATTGGCACAAAAATAGACAGATAGACCAATGGAATCAAATTGAAACCCTGATATTCACCCACACACCTCCAAACACCTTATTTTTCACAAAGATGCTAAATCTATACAATGGAAAAAAGATAGCATCTTCAAAAAATGGTGCTGGCACAACTGGATTAGGACATGCAGAAGATTGCGGATAGATCCATATCTGTCACCATGCACAAAACTTAAGTGCAAATGGATCAAAGATCTCTACATAAATC